ATTGGAAATTTTTTCGGAAGCYTGTTTCGAAAAGCTTTACCTTTCTTAGCAAGCGCATCCAAACAGGCTGGAAAGGTTGCGCTAAAAACTGGTGCCAATGTCCTAGCGGATGCAGCTGCGGGTCAGCGMTTTCAAGACTCTCTCCGAAATCGATTGAAAGAATCGGGAATGGAATTAAAACGTGACGTCACAACACAAGTCAAAAATGCAATGAATGGCCAAACTGGTTCAGGCAAGAAGCGGAAGCGAGGTCAACAGGAAAGGAGTGGAGTACCACAGAAAAAGCGGAAACAAACGAAAGCCAAGCCAAAACGCATAAAACGCAAGACCAAGTCAAAGAGTCTCACAACTTCGAAAGCTACTAAGCCGAGAACATTTCAAGATATTTTTGGATAAATCATCATAACATGGCCTTAATTCATCCTCGCTCACAAGAATGCATGGTGGAAGAACTCGATTTATTTTCTGTCAGTCCAACTCAAAATAGTGTAGTGAAAAAGATAGATATCGAATATCAACCCATTTCAGCCCTTAGTAGTTCTTCACCTGTTGAATTTAACATCCCTGGTACTGAAGACTATGTTCATCTCCCCTACACTCAACTCTACGTGTCCGCTCGCATCAAACATAAAGATGGTACTGATCTTGATGCGGACGAAAAAATAGGACCCGTGAACAACCTACTGCACAGTCTTTGGCGGCAGGTAGATGTCTATTTTGGTTCGACACTGGTATCAAGTTCAACCAACACTTACAGTCCCGAAAGCTATAGTAAGACCCTCCTTAACTTTGGAATGGGTGCTAAAAAGTCTCAACTACAAGCTGCCATGTGGTATGGAGATACGTCTGGCGCATTCGAAGATGCTAGGGTTGGCGCTACAGGAAAAAGTTCAGGTTTCAAAAGTCGAAATGCACTCGTCAAGGAGTCCACCGAGTTTGAGTTGATTGGACCTCTGTACTGTGACGTATTCATGATTCAAAAGTATCTCTTGAGCTACGTAGACCT